TCTTCACCACTGTTCAGCTTGTCGAAGAGGTTCTTCGACACCCTACTGCGCATGAACAGACTTCTGTGACACAAGGTCTGAGTTTCTCTGGCGGAAGAAGTGGTACCTCGGGAATCCCTCGGCCTACCGTCGTGGATGGCGCGTCCTCGGTGACGAACACCACGCACTCCAGTTTGTTTTCATGCCGCCGCAGTGATAGCAGAAAGGTATGTCGTCTCCGCATTCCAACTTCAAGTCATTTATGATGAGGGATCTTCAGGAGCCACGGCAGATGCCCAACCTGGGACCACGTAAATGCGGCGCAGTGAAGTTTGATGCCGGTGACTTCGTGGCGGCCCATTTGATTTTCGCAAGTTCACGGTGACTTCCAGCGCACCTGATCGGGAACATGAGAGGCCTTCATGCGGGTACGCCACTGTCTTCTGCCGCGTTGATAGCAGTCTCGAAGGAGGGTCGTTTCTTCAGCCCTGCGAGTCTAATAGTGGGTCCACTCGTCGGTTCTGCCAGACAGGTGACTGGAACACTTACGAGCAGAGGCGGATACATCCTACGTATGTATTCATGGTGGGATGGGATGCTCCGCATCGCGCCTCAAGGTCATCGTCCTCGTCCTCGGAGACACGAAGAGTTGTTCGGATGCTCGTCCACTCCGCCTGGGCAGATGTTCTAGGCTCTCGATGCGGAGCAGCGTCACACGGACAAAGAAGGAGGTCATTTGCAAATCGACCAGTGTTTTCCTCCTCGAGATCTAGAGTTCAAATTACGTCGAAAGCATACACTCTGTTTGCTAGTACTTATGTAAACTCACGTTGCGTCTTTTCAATAACTTACTTCTCCTAGTAATCTGATCGAGGGCTCTTTTGACCGAGATGACGAGGATGTTCCGCGAGTTTGGCTACTCTCAGGAATAGTCAGATTCGGAGCAGCTCGATGTGATCCCGACTGTGTGCTTTGGGCCGGCGGCTGCCAATGGGGACCCGCACGTATTGGATACAAATGGAGGTTATTCCAGACCATTACATGGTTCCCAATCCCGAGATCGATGACGAGGCGAGTGGGTCACGTACTGATCGTAGTACGTGACCGCCCACAAGTGATTTCCTTGGTGTAAAACTGCTTCTAGCCACCTACGAGCTCAGATTGGCTTCGACTTCAGCTAGAAGCACTCGCGATCGGCTGTGAGCAAGCCTGCTGAGCCCCCAAAATGGGCGACCGAGAATAACATCGTCGGGCCGAGCTTCCTAGATCCAAGACGATTCTGACTGCACGTTCTCATTGAGAAAGAGCAGGATTCCAGATCCACCGAAACTAACGCGGGACGCCTAATCTGTGGCAAGGGCGTTGCCGAACAGTGGTAAGTTCGTGAATGCATCCACTCGGGCTGCTAGGGCTTCTTTGACGAAATCTGGTGTTCGCTGTCCTCCAACTTCAACTCGCTTATGGAGTGAGTCTTCTAGACTTGTCAATGTTGTTCAACGATTTCGTGATTGAGATGGTCTTTAAATTTAATTGAGGGTGAGCTAAGCGAGAGGGTGCTTCTGTCGCATGTGATGTTGGGGGCAGATCACTTGAAGTCGATGCCAAATGGAGGATTGCGCCATTCAATGAGCCAATGGCACGGATCGCAAAAGAGGGTGTATATTTCTCCTGCGCACGACGAGACGTCGAATGCCGAGAGTGCATAAAGCGAGAGTATAGCGACAAAGAATGGCGGGACTGAGAGGGATCGCTAGTCCGGAAGGTACGGGAAGTATGGGACAACGAGAGGGCTACGCGGACTCGAGGTGTACCGGGGTATACAAAGCAGAGAGCGAGATACCGCAAATAGCATATCCAGGTCCCCTGAAGTCGACACGAGTACTTCATCCGCCCTTTTGCGGTCCTTTAACGTCGATCTTGGTGTGCCTTGGAGAAGCTGCAACTGGGAGCATCGTCAGTATTTTTCCATGCACGAAGAGCTCACGTTGCGGAAAGAACGGTGGCGACTCAAAGCGTACAGCCTCCCGCGGCGCTGAGTTGGCGGGTCGTGTCGCTGAGGTTGTGCTAAAAGCTGTTGGTCAGGTTTCGACTAAAATCTTGCAGTATCATTATAACGCACCGAACGGCACAATAACCTTCATTTGCTCGATACTATCCTCTAACTTGTACCTTTGAAAGCAGCCCAGAACACTGTCCGAGCTGAACTGATCTCATCCACTGACCGGCTTGTGTTGCCAGAGTGGATTGCATGCGCTGTCAAGCGAACCTAGCATTTGAGAACAGTCAGTAGTATACTATATGAGTCAAGAGAGAGACTTGCAGACCTACCTCAAAACGCATATTCAGCGCAGATTAAATGCCATACAAAGCAGCAAAGCGTACGCTGTCCGACGTTCAACGGTCGACGCTCATCGCAGTTCGAAAACAAGAGCCAGGTCAGGGACGGGGTAAACGGCGAATGCCGAGCAGCGCAAAATGGGCGTTTGTGAGCGGTTTGCAGCAATTCTTCTCCTTCATAGATGTTTCGGCACTTGACAGTCCTAAATCAAACAAGACTGTGGAAGAAGCATTTTATGCGCAGAACTAAGGTATGATAATGAAGCTACTCAGAGTGGTAGATACAATGACTCATGCGAGATACAGATGTTCGTCTATGCTCGGTCGTCCGACAGCGATACCACGCTTGAACCTCATCCCTCTGGTCTGGGACATCAAGAGCCTTCATACGTGACTTCATGTCGACGTAGAAGATGACTCTTGCCACAGAAATCAAATCCATCCCGTAATCTTCATTGTCGCTCAGGTCGATCGAGTGAAACTCACCCTCGCCCTCATCCAACTCGTCCTACGCAACCTCCAGGTCGTCTGAAGTGACCTCGAAGGAACTGGAATCCGCATCCACCGAGCTTGATGCAATGCTTCCAACCGACGTCAGCAATTGCCAACTCGACCTGCGAGATGGCTGTGCTTCTCTCGGATTATGCATACGTTGAGCCCTGCAGAGTGTTGAAGGGAGGAGGAGGGTTGATTCTATCTCGGAGACATTTGGGAGGGCGAGACGGGTGGTGGGCTTGGGCAGATTGCCGTATGAAGAGAGGCGTCTTGAGGTGATGGCCTGGGTGGGGTGCGTGGATGGGAAGAGGGTTATCGATATGAGGAGGGAAGGATTGGTGGTTGAAGTCAAGCGAGGGCTCTGCCGAATGGTTCTGAACGCTTCCACAGCAAGGATGGACGGGATCGTAGGCTGCAGAACAGAAGTCCACACTATTGTCTTCTGCCTACGACAGCACGCTTTCAACGCAGCCATATGCGACGGACATGGCATACAGCATCGCTACTTGCCAACCCAAATACGTCATTTGGCCACTGGCACGGCGAGTCGCGTTGGTTTTCGGGAGCCATTGCTGCGTCACACAGCTGCTCCTACTATGCATGGTATGGCTAGACTCGTCGCGTCCCTCTGGCCCTGTGTTCATGCACGCGCTGTGCCGTACGTCCTCTCCATAACTATAACTGAAAATCTTCATTGACTGATTCATTCGACGGCAGGCTCAATCGACGAAGATCGCATCAGGAGGACCGAGTACGATCCAGATTGGCGACTCAAAATGAACGCTTCGGGCCCACCGCCAACGGCAATGGAGTTACCGTGCGGTGCACGCGACGCAGAGTTTGATTTTGACGACTCCCATTTAGCGGTGGTACTCAGAAGGTAGAACCATACTGTAACAGTCATGTGGATTCTTGGTCTGGTATAGAATGACGATGATTGCATTGGAACATCTCAAGTACGTTTACAGATTCCAGGAGGGCAGTACGCAGATCTGAAATCGGCTGTCTGCGAGACATGGGCGGCGACGAGCTGCATGCCTGGTCACGTTCCGTCGACCTGCAGCGCGCGGTACCCCACTTACCAGTGTAAGCACAAGAAAGCTTCATTGCACGCATTGACCTCGACAACCTTCACTTGCCATTGCGACACTTCAAGCCGCAAGTCGCATAGCCACTTCAGCCGCCGTTCAGCAGCTGCTCAAATGGGTACTAGGACGTTCTCACCTCTTTCGAGTTCAGCAGCAAGGCCTGTCTGAGTCTCACTCAGTCTCCCAAAAATTGTGAGTGCAGGGTCACTTGTTTTTTTCCTATCCTGTCTCGTGGTATGGCAGCACTTTTCTGCACCGGTCCTGTCTCATGATCAAGAGCTACGCTGATGGAGTTTTTCGTGATGCAGGGCGGGAGCTATGGCCTATGTTCGTCGACGAGAAGTTCCACCACACTCATAGACCATGACCGCGATGCCCTGCCTGTCACTTCTTTCTGTGACCAGTAGAGATGCTGCCTCACTTTTTCGACTTTTGTAGGCACGTTGGGCATCAAAATACCAGTCTCAAGGCCCGGGCCCTAGCGGTACTGCGAAGTTTCTTCTTCTTTCGCGAACGCTCAGGCTGGGCGCTGGTGACCTGTCGCTCGGGAAGCGATTCCAAAACAACTCCTGAGAGGTGCGGTTTAGTGGCATCGTCTGGGACTATTCCACTACGAAACCGGCCAGGAATCCTTGGGTCTCCAATACGTGTCTACGAGGAGAAATCGGGCCCCCTGAGGGAGCCTCAAGAACAATTTGACAACAGAACATCATCATGTACCTCCACAAACCTTCTTGGAGACGGCATGTTTTTTCCGGTTTTCTCGGAGAATGTGTCGAACTGAACAACACCCCGTAGTAGCGGTAGCACCATCGCTTCCAATGAAAGATTGATAGGTTTAGTCTGCAAAAAGCCAGAGGCCTGATTGTCGAGAAAATTGAGGAGGCCTATGCGTCCACCTACTCGCACTAATCCTTATGCAGGTGAAAGTTCAGTGTAGAATACGTACACGTATCAATATACTGTAGTATTCTGCGCAGCGGGGCAGTAGAGCTATCTCTACAGCGGTTTCTCACGTTCAGAATCAAAATGACCGTCGATCACTCGACTCATCAGAAGTACTGGAACACATATCTATAGGAAAAAGGTCGAAAAGCAAATTGCCCATTGGCCGGATTGAACGACCGACCTCACCATAATCATGCGACTTACGAGTGGCGCGCTCTACCACTGAGCTAAACGGGCGACAAGACAAGTGGAGGCCTAATGCGACAGAAAGCCTCGAAAGTTCGCGCAACCGTTAACCTCCACTGTGCCACAGAACAATTTCTGGTTGCATATCGCGTCGGGCATGTGGAGACTACCGTCTACTACCGTGACCAGTCGTGACCAGACAACAGCGGTACCTGCACTCATCCGAATTGGAAGATTCTACTGATGTTTCAGACGAAAAACATATGTTCAGGGCTGGCTGTTCAGGGCGGGCTCCCGGAAGATTGGGGAGGAACGTCGCCGGAGCGCCTGAGTCAGATGGCACCATCACAGTCTCGTCCATGATATACCAGCCACTTTTTCTATCTGACCGCTCTGGTTTGCCTCTCGTATTTATACCATGCACCTTCGGACCTGAACCTCCTTCATTCTCCACAATCTGTCTCTCTTCTTGATTTTTCGCCTTTTTTTCTCATCCAATGTCGTCGATTCTCGCCCTCGCTCGGAGTCGTGTGCTCTTTCTCCGACCTCTCAAGGCAGATACTCGGAGATGGATGAGCGTACGACCAGAAGAGGCTGCCAATCCCTCTCGTGAGTGCTTGTGTCCTTTCGTTCCCTCATGTGATCTGTAACACCCGTGCAGGGCGCAAAAAGGTCACGATTCAGCATCTCCAGCAAATGCGCAGAGCCGGCGTCCCCATCACTATGCTCACTGCTTACGACTACCCTACCGGACGAGCTTGCGAGGCCCACGGCGTCGACATCACGCTCGTAGGCGACTCGCTCGCACAAGTGTGCCTGGGCTATGATTCCACAACTCGCCTTACCCTCGACGAGATGATCCATCACTGCCGTGCTGTCTCTCGGGGCAGCAAATCACCACTCCTTGTCGGCGACATGCCCTTTGGATCATACCATGCAAGCATCGATGATGCCGTACGGAATGCTATTAGGATGGTGCGTGAAGGTGGTGTCGAGGCTGTAAAGATGGAAGCTAGTTGGGAGGGGGCGGAAACCGTACGGAAGCTCTCCGCTATCGGCATTCCAGTCATGGGTCACGTTGGCTTGATGCCCCAGCGACACACTTTCTTCTCTGGTTACCGGGTCCAAGGCAAGACCGCCGACTGTGCTCTGGAGATCGTACAAGGCGCGCTCGCGCTCCAGGAGGCTGGCGCTTTCGCGATCGTCTTGGAGGCCATTCCGAGACTCCTCGGGTCCTACATCACCAAACAGCTGGATATTCCGACGATTGGTATTGGGGCGGGTGCACAGACGGATGGGCAGGTTCTGGTTTGGGATGATGTGATGAGTACCTGGGGAGGGCATAAGGCCAAGTTTGTGCGGCAGTTCGGCAACGTCAAAGGCGAAGTGGAGACGGCAGTCAAGAGCTTCTCGCATGCGATCCGCGACAGGTCATTCCCAAACGACTCGGAGAGCTACGCGATGCCAGAAGAAGAGTGGATGAAGTTCCTCGAGCTGGCGGAGAAAGAAGGACTGCGTGGCGACGCGTCGGTTCCCGTCAGAGGTTGACGATGATTTTTATTCCATAAATCTATTCGCATGGGCTAGTGAAGCAATGGGTCATAAGATGTGAGTTCCCACTTTTTCGTACATGATTCGTCGCTGAACCCGCGTCCACTCAGGTAATCATACTAGCATTTCTCTACACTCGCGAACAATACAAATATCCGTCTACTGCACTTTTCGCGTGTCCACTGAACGAGAGCACACATGGCTGACAGGTTGAAGCAACATTTACTTGAACAGATTCCGGCTATCTACAAAAATACGTATACATATGGTACGTTTAATACACCGTAAAGACCAAAGTTCCAGCCCTGATCTAATCGTTTCGTTATACAGTCGCTAACTACCAGCGAATTCCTCCTGCCAACAATACCTGCGCATCTCCCCTCATCAAGTGGTCCAGTGGCGAGAGAAGCTCCGGAGGGTAATCGACCGAAGTCACGTCTGAGCGAGCATCTGAAGACACCTCGTTCCACCAAGCGTCGTAAATGGGCATTCCGGAGACGGGGGAGATGGCGGGGAGGGGAACGTTCTGAAGGGCTGGAGTGGGGGGCATGGAGATTGGGAAAGCGGGGCCAGGCATGGAAATGAAGCCACAGGTTCGAGGAGTGAGCTCGATGTCTTCCCAGGGCCCGTCATCCTCGTCGTCAATGATCATGTCCACACCCTCGTCCAAGCTGCTCTCGCTATCATCAAACTCGTCGTCCCCGTCAAAACCCGCCTCGTCCAAAGCGGAGAAGAATTCGCCACCGAACGCGTTCTCGAATGGGGTAGAAGGACGGGTGATGCTCGGGCGGGGGTTGGTTATGATGTAGCTGGGCTTGAGGGGGCGGTGGATGAAGGGGATGGTGGTTGGCTTGCAGGGGCGAGGGGCGAGAATGGGAAGGGCGGGAGCGGTGTCGGGGTTGGGTTGCTCGGAGGGCAGCAGGCTCATCAAGAGACTCTGCCTTCTCATATCCTTCTCCGCAGCGTCACTCTTGACGCTCTCTCCCTCGGACGTATAGGAAGTCTGCGAGATATTGGAAGAGGCGGAGGTGGTGAAGCGGAAGGACGAGGTGGAGGAGGTGACGCGGGTGTCGGTGCGGGAAGGAGACCTGGTCATGGGGACTGCGGCTGCTGCTGTGGGGATAGGTGGCCGGGCGGCGACTGCGTCGAGGACTGGCATCTCGATGTCGCCACGGAGAATACCCAGGAGCTGCGGGGATGCGGACGACAGCTCGAAAGCAGCGGAAGCAGCAGCTGTGCTGTTGGCGTCCGTCATGACCTGCGACAAGGCGACCTGTGCCATTGCGCGAGTGTCGTCCTGAAGATAAGGACGGTACTGGTGAGCCCAGAAGACGTTGTCGTCAACCCAGGTCCTGTCAAGGATCGGGTCGGTGGTAGCAGGGGCGGACTGGCGCAAAGAGTAAGTCAGGTCGGTACTCGTTGTCGTGGTACAGAGGGACTCACTCGTGTCCGACCTCTCAGAGTTCGCGGTCCCCTCTGCAGGAAGCTCGGGTATGAAGACGAATACACCTTGCCGGAGGGTACATTCTGGATCTTTGCAAGGAGATCGCGTGCGGTGGTGTTGCTGGAGGTCATGACTATGAAGGGGGAGTAGATGCTGAAGGGGGGCGCTTGGGTTTGGTGGGATGGCGGGATGGGATGTGTAGGCGGCGCAGGGAGTCAAGTATCCGGGAGATGTTGGATCGGTTTGAGTGACGGAGGAGGGGTAGGAGCTGGCCCTTATATGAAGGTTCTGAAGAGCAAAGCGGGGCCCCCAGACCTTCCGAGAACCCATGCCAGCTCTTTGTTCCTTTGCCACTCGCGTAGGCTCAGCAACCTGCGGACATACAGGAGCACCTGCGATGTTGCGCCTCGGAGTTCGTAGATGGTGACCATCGAACTACCTAATCTGCCTCATGCTGGGCACGACTGTGCCATCCAAAGGGGTTTTTGGACCTGACGCTTTGCCAGCGTCTCGTCATCCGCCGGTGATGTGTATCTGAGTGGCTCACTTTCCCTGATCCGCTTTGCACATCCTTCCCGGGGATCTGTAGTTCTCGCAGAGGATAGTAGCGACGCTTGTCAGCTTTGACAGACATAGATCATCAAAGACAGGACGTCATAACTTGCAATGTCTTCGTCTGGGAGATTGTATGTCAATTCATTCCGGACCAGGCGCAATGCGGAAAGACGAATACAACTCACCTGGATCCGATATTGGCGATGCAGGTAGGGGTAGTTTGCAACTGTACAGACGGTAGGTGAAAATAAAACAGGGCAATATTACCACCAGGGTCCTCGGAGTGCAAAGCGTTGAGTAACGCGGTCCTCGAGGTACCTCTGCATCTCCATCACCCACTTTCCACCACCGGATATCCAGATACACGCTACTTGGACCATCAGTAAATGCGTCAGATGCACAGGAACGTACCTTCCTATTCAAAACAATGCGCTTTGGATCGTGTACTGATGGCGAGGAAAAGTCAGGCAGGTGATGGTATCGCCCAGCCACCGTGGCTTTGCGAGTGGCTCACTTATACGCGTGGCTTGTGTTCATGACAACGTTGCGCAGGTTTCTCCGAGGGACGACCCCGCTGCGATCTCACATTAAGCACATCTGTGTGCTTTGTGATAACCCAGCGGGCCTCTCGTCGGCGCTGCCAGTGCGAGGTGATACTGCCCCCTCGTCGCTGTATGTGCGGAATGGTCATAATCTGGACCGTCCCATACCCTCGTGCTGTTCATTGTCTACCCCCATGGGTGAGGAAAACATTCACTCGCACGGAACTCCGGGGCCAGGTGCTTGGACGTGAAGAAGCGAATGCATAAAGTTATGAAGTTATGTCTTCGAAATGCGTCAAGCATCGCCACAGATCTACCTCGATGAAGATGGGGGACGTTTGATCTGTGATCCGTCTATAAAGAGCGGTACCGATAACGAAGTTAGCATACACACCTGAGAACTTGACGTCCTTCACTGCAGGAATAGCTAGACAGTGAATACGATCACCGCGCAATGCAAACGTCGAACAGACGCTATAATCAACGTATATCTTGCAATTTCATTCTACTCTTCTGCAACATACAAGCTGTTGGTATCGCATGCGCAACGAGTATGTTCGTCCCGACTTGATTCATACGGTCTGGGGCGGACGAAGAACCACCTTCTTCCCGCTCACTTTGTTTTTGCGGAGGAGATCCAGCGCGTCGGGAATACTGCTCAAGCCACCGGGGACGTAGTGCACTTTGTTAGGCTGTAATCGCGCACGGTCAGGAATACTCACATCACAAAAAAGCCAATCTACGTACTTTGATATCTCCATTTTCCAGGTACGCTCCGAGTTGGGCATAAATTTCCTTCCCGAACTCTCCCTGTAACGGAGGGTTACCCCATGGCGTAACCATGTCCTTTCCTCTGACTCTATCCTCTTCTTTCACTTCTTCTTCTAGGACGAGGATCAAGGTACCTCCGTCTGCGAGGATCTTATAGGCTGCGTTCTGCGTGTCAGGAAGCGAGATGG